TAATTGGTAATTAGTGACTCAGTATTGGCCCAATGCCTTTTTGGAAAGTTTCTGCTTTTTTGAAAATAAAAAAATGCATCCTTTATGGAAATAAAATTCCTCCCCATGGCCTGAGGTGTCCTATGAAATTTAAATAAATGAAAAAAACATTTTTACTCCAGATTTTGCCCTTGTGCCCAGGCTTAATGGGCAAAAAATATGAATAGCCAAGGCCAAAGTGGCTGTGCCCTCCTAAATCCTTATGTCTAGCCCTGCTCTAAGTGAAAGAGATGAGAGTCTAAAATACTTTGGTTTGCAAATACTGTTCTTGTTGATTATAGCAAATCCTGTGTACATACTGTAGTGGTGCAACGGATCACTGTTGATCCATGATCCGAACCGATCCCTCTCCACAGTTCGGCACGCACATGATCCGAAGATTAAAAAAAAAAATTAAAAGTTCCACTGTATGGTGCGCGTGGTCAGTCTGTCAAGCGATAGTCATGGCCAGCGGTAGCGGTCCGAGTGGAGGAGCAGGAGAGCTCAGGAAACCTCCAGCATGACTTAGATCTCGTGTGGGAGCATTTTGGCTTCCCCGTTAAATATACTGATGGGAAAAGGGTGGTGGATAAAGCCACCACAGTTTGTCGACAGTGTGGCACGAGGAAGCCGTATGAGACTGTGGCAACACGTCGGGCATGGCCCTTCATTTGAAACGACATCACCCTGGTGTGATGAGCTAAGATGAAGGCTGCGCAACAACCGCTGATATCCGTGGCATTTACGCAGCCCTTTGCTGCCCAATCCGACCGGGCTAAAGCTATTACAAAAGCTATTGGGGTGTTTATAGCTGTTACAAGCTCACGTCTGCTTTACCTTCTTTCTTCTTTTTTGATGATGTGGACATAAGCCAGTTTTTATTTCATTCTCCATGTTCAAAGTAAGAAGCAATGATACCTTAAATTGCATTTTACGTTGTTTTTGATTGTGTCCACATTAAAGGAAATAATTATCATGCCCTATATTGCACCTTAATTTGTTTTTATATAATTGCGTGGAATGAGTCTTGAGTTGAATGTTGTTTTTTAATGGTCAAAAAATACTTAAATAAATAAATGGAGTTAAATTTGTCTTTGTCTTTTTTCTTTTTTTGCTGATTCGAAAATTGATCCGATCCCTGACTTTTTGTATATATTTTTTGATCCGTTGCACCACTAACATACTGTAAATAAGAACCTTATATTTTTTTGTTTTGCATCCATGCCGTGAATTGCATGAATGCTCATACTGAAAAATTAAATGTCCCATTTTCAGTCAATATAGGATGCAATTTCTCTTGTTTTTTTCGGATCACGTCACCGAAAACTTTAACAGAAAGGGAAACTGTAGATATTTGTTGTAGTGAGAGAGCACATTTTGGATTTTTTTGTGCATATGTGTTGCAATGTAATTTAGAGCTAAGCAGTAATGGAAACCGGTGTAGTATACTCATTAAAATAAAAAGGAAATTCATAAAGTGCCAAATATGTAAATAGTACTTAATGACCACATTTAAGTACAGGAAAATAACTTAGAACAGGAGACATATTATGCATTATAAAGATATTGCCTCAGATATCCATATATTGGTCATTACAAAACACAGTATTAAGATTTTGATAACCATGATGCCGGCATAGTGGCCCAGTGCTTAGCACTGCTGCCTCACAGCAAAAAGGTTCTGGGTTCGGTCCCGGGTCCTTTCTGTGTGGAGTTCGCAAGCTCTCCCCGTGTTCGCGTGGGTTTTCACCGGGGCTCTGGTTTCCTCCCACGGTCCAAAAGTGTGCAGGATAAGTTGATTGGTGAGTCTAAATTGGCACTGTAGTTGTGTGCGTGTGAGTACCTCGTTGTGTTGGCGACTGCCCAGGGTTGGTTCCCGCCTGCACCCATTGTTCCCGGGATAGACTCCGGTCCCCCCCGCGACCCCAGTTGGGATTAAGCGGTTTCAGAAAATGGATGGATGGATGACCATAATGCCTAATTACCACTATAGAATTAATTGAAGCTTTGTTTAAACAAGTGCCAGGCAGATAACATCAGGTTGGATTGGGAGACACATTATGCATTATTACAAATTTTAGAATAATATAAATTTACTACCATACAACCCCTAGTGTTTGTGCACTTAACTCCAGATTCTGAGTTTGCAGTCACGTTTTATTTAACAAATAACCAAAATTTAAAATAAAAATTTATTTGAGAGTTTGAAATGACAAATTGAAAGCACAATAAAAGTAAATTGTTTGCACATTTTAGGAATTTGAGCTTTATGTAGTACTTTTTGACCACATTAAGCTAAAGCATGATTTAGTACAAGATCAATATGGATAGCACAGTGGAGACCTGTTTTGCTTCATTTGTCTCTGAGTTGTTGTTGTTGTACCCTACTGTCCATGGGTCTCTTGCCTCCAGGCTGCATATCTTTTCAGTGGAAATTTTAAATATGATATGTTAAATGCTTTCGGGCCTGTGACCTGAGAGAACCAGAATGAAACCTTCTCTCCTCCTTTTTACTCTAGAGATAAGTGCTACTGGATTCAACTATCAGAATGAGGATGAAAAGGTTACTTTGTCTTTCCCCAGTGCTCTTCAGAAAGGTAAGTGGAGCTTCTGAGAACCGCTAAATCCTTCCATTTTAAAGTGTGCTCATTCCTTTTTAACGTTAACATGTTTCATATTTTAAAATGCAGGTACATCACATCTGTTCTTCAATATAAAAACAGTGCCACATTCACTAGTCCCCTCAGTTTACAAAATGCATTGTATTGCATGGAAACCCATCAGATAAAACCCATGGCAAAATACCAGTATGTCACTTGTGCAATACTTGCTGAAATGGACTTTTCCCATCTGGAGACGAGTGTGGGGTCATAAATATCTCCATTGTGGATTTTTATATATATAAATAAAAATTTATACTTTGTTGACTGTATGATGACGCATTTAGCCATTATCTGAATAAACATGGATGGACCAATTGAAGGTGGATTCCTTTGAAAGGGTTCCAGGTATCGGGTTGGGCTAAATTGTGGCCTGTTTAGGCATGAATATGATGATGGTGGAAGAACAAAGAAAACATTGGTTCCAGCTTGCCATGTTTACATCCATTGCCTGCATCTTGTCATAAGTTCATAGTTGTAAAATGTTCTGTTACAGTGCCGCGAATGAACTCTTGCTGTTTAATAAGATAATGACACTTAAGTTTTCAGAGATCCTTTACTCTGGTATAGTGGTGAACACGGGATGGAATTTTAAATCCTGATTCGGCCCGAACCCCACAAGATTCTGTCCCACTTCTGCAGAAGCTGATTTATCCCGCTCCCACCTGCAAACACAAATGTTTTCATTGACTGTGCTTTATTTTCAGTTTAAGATTAAAGACAAACCTGTAGCCTCAACAAATAGGTGGCTTTTCAAAGGAATCCACCTTCAATCCTACGTTCAACATGTAACAGTTTAATAATTAACAGGCTACATTTTTCATATAATTAGGCGCTTTGACATCGAAGTTCTGGAACCTGGTCCCTGGGCTGTGTGAACCTGAGCATTTATTTATATTTTATTCATACGACTTGTGATATGTTTATATTTCATTATTAAATCTGACAAGCAGATTGATCTTCTGGTTTCACAGAATAAAAAAACAGTAACGTATTCCACCAATATGTATAAATTTAAGTATAAATATGGAAACTTAAGCCAAAAATGTATTAATGAAATGTATTTCACCTGCAACATTAACAGTTACAGGTTGTAGATCTGCACAAACAAAATCCACACATTTTTGTGGGTTTTTTTTTTAAAATTTTTTTAAATTGCAGTTGTCACTTTCTAGTTTGCACTTGCACATGAATGTCAGTCTAGTCTGGCCCTTCAAAACTGAGCACACATGGCGCTTTAGCCTTGAAGTTCCAGGCTTATGCCCAGTATAAAAGATAGTACTTTATGACATTTGTCACAATGGGCAAAAGCCATTGTGGTCACTTACAATGGAAAAAGACTGTCAAAAATCTTAAGTGCTTTACATAGTTTGACATTTTTATATTCATTGTTCCTTAAACAGGCACTTACATCCTCGGGTGTTAAAGATTTTTGTGCTGGCTATGCCATCATTTGCCAGGCGCTCACAAGAGTAGCGAAGGACTTTCAAAATGCTAACATGCTTTTGAACATTCCAGGATAGGCTGGCTGTGTAAAACCCATGTTAGGCATATATTACGATACTTATTTTAATTATTTTTGCCAGATCCCACGTCATTTCCATTTTTCCCGCTATCGCAGACATATCAGTCTCTTACAGTCTGCTCCCGCATTCAAAAAATGAAAATTTGTACTGCTCCGTACTCTATTGCCTCAGGTCCCACGGGATTCCTACAGGAATGCAGACCTCTACTCTGCCTGTCCAGTTCATCAAATACATACTTTCACTATTACATTTGTATCCATTAAAGCTAAAAAATATGAACAGATTTCTGTTAACCATCTTCCGTAATTTCACATATACTGCCCACGGAGTAAACAGGTTTTTACGTCCTGCTGCGGGGGAGGGGGCAAGTTAAATAAGGGTTGGAGTTGTATTCCTATTTACATTTCCATGAAGGGGTTATTCAAAAGCAGTTGAGCAAATGTTTGTCAGCATTAATGGTGTTTTTGTATTTCAAAAAGTAAACAGTTGGCATTTCCTTAACAAGTGTACAAAGCTGATTTATAAAAAATCGTAACGGAGTTCAAACTTTTTGAACTCCTTGAAATTCTTGGTTCAGGTTGTACACAGAAGTTTCAAAAAGAGACAAGCTAGTATGAAAGTATGCAGTACTGATAAATGTTTCAGACATTATCGTGGTCTTTCTCGGAAGCAAAGCCGTATCATTTGAGCGGGTGAAATGTTAATCAGCCAATGCTTCCGCTTCGATGGGAAAATACTAATAGCTTCAGTTGTCCATAATTTGAAATCACCTGTGTATGACTTTTGTTTTCACATTGTTGGGGGCTAATTTAACAAGAATTTAGTCAGTGTATATGTACAAAAGATTTATATTTTGGTTTAACTATAACAGCATAGTAAGTTTCTGTGGTCAGTTTAACATCTTCTATGCACTGTAGGGTAAGTAGTAATTTTACAATTTCTGGTACATACAGTAAATCAATATGTTCAGTTATACAACTAGAGTTCAAAATATAAAGTAATTTTAGTTATATTTTTAAGTATAATATTGATATCCATCCATCCATTTTCCAAACCGCTTATCCTTCTGGGTCGCGGGGGGGTCCGGAGCCTATCCCAGAAGCTATGGGCACGAGGCGGGAAACAACCCAGGAGGGGGGGGCAGCCCATCGCAGGGCACACTCACACACCATTCACTGACACAGGCACACCTAAGGGCAATTTAGTAACTCCAATTAGCCTCAGCATGTCTTTGGACTGTGGGGTTGGGAAACCAGAGTACCCAGAGGAAACCCCGTGATGACATGGGGAAAAAATGCAAACTCCACACACATGTAACCCAGGCGGAGACTTGAACCCTGGTCCCAGAAGTGTGAGGCAACAGTGCTAACCACTACAACACCATGCCGCCCTAATATTGCTCAGATAATTATTAAAAGTGCATGCCATATTCAGTTGAGTCCTGTAACCCTACAAGCTTAAAAATGGACAATGCAGGTTAAGGTGTTACTTCATACAAAATTGGTAAAATTGTTCATTTTCAGTCCAAATTCTGCCTTGATAAGTCCCCAGAACACTAATTTATGAAAAACCTTGCAGACACTAATAAATGTGGCCAGTTTGTAATTAAAAAAAGAAAACTCTGTGAATGTTAATTCCTATGTCCTGTGTGTCAGGCAAATGATATCTTTCCAGTAGCATCCGGCATTTCCTTAGTCTTCATTGTTTCTATGCAGTTTTAACACAGTCCTTTCAGGTTTGGTTCAAATTTCAGTTTTGAAGCTAAAACTGGCATTCGGAAATCTTTATTGGTAAATAAATTTAGATTTTTGGATTTTTAGTCCACATACCATGAGTTTCAGTTGTTGCAAAATCTCTTCTGTTGCAGGTTCTGGTATTTTGAGGATCGACTATGTTGGAGAGCTAAATGACAAAATGAAAGGCTTCTATAGAAGTAAATACACAGCCCCTTCGGGAGAAGTGCGCTTTGCTGCTGTCACACAGTTTGAGGTGAATGTGCGATTCATGTAGAAAGACCCCCACTGCGAGGCCTACTGCTGACCAGGCCCCTCACTTGCATCCTTTACCTTGTCCTCCATCAGCACGTACAGCAGAAAATGCCAGTGATTGGGATGTTTTATTTATTGGAAAGTTCTGAAATGTAAGCTTAAGCGATGCCACGTTGAGGAGTGTGGATTTTTTGCTCCTGTAATGTGATGTTTTTGTCCCAGGCTACAGATGCTCGCAGAGCCTTTCCTTGCTGGGATGAGCCAGCTATCAAAGCCACCTTTGACATCACGCTTATTGTTCCCAAGGACCGGGTAGCCCTGTCAAATATGGTAATTTTTGTTGTATACTCCTTTATTCCAGGTATTCTAACAGGATATCAGATTTTTCATTTCATTTTACTTTTAATATAGTATAGCCAGCTTGTATACCTTGCATGTGACAAATAAAACCCTTATCCTTTTTAGTGTGTTAGAGACTGACATATATTCCATATATACCTGATATTCTGTCTTTTAAATGTTCTGCTTAATGTCTTCTAAACTTCTCACGCACTGTAAAAAGTGCTGTTCCAGTTTTAAGGCTGTTGTATGTGCAGTTCTTCCACTTCAAATGCAGGATGTGACTGGTAACTTTTTTTCCTCCAGAATGTTATAGATCGTAAGCCGTATCCCAATGATGAGAGTCTTGTAGAGGTGAAGTTTGCCAGGACTCCTGTCATGTCCACTTATCTGGTTGCGTTTGTTATTGGCGAATACGATTTTGTGGAAAGTCGATCTTCCGATGGTATAACAGTGCGTGTTTACACACCTGTTGGAAAGGCTGAACAAGGAAAATTCGCTCTTGAAGTAAGTGTAAGCTTTTTTATGTTTTCAGTTTCTCTTCTTTGATGTCACGTAATTACTTACCTGCTAAGTCTGTGTGGATTTTTGAAATTTGCATGTGTAACATGTAGCTTTTGCCTTAAATAGGCCTAACATATGAGCAGTGAGCTGATTTTATTGACATAAATATGTATTCTGTTACTTTCTATGCATTGATTTTCTGTCTGTTTGCTGTCTGCTGTATGGCAGCTGACTGTTTGGACTGCTGACAGATAATTCCGTGAAAGACATTTCTTTGTTTTGGTATTGCATTGCTTTCTAAGCTGGTGGCAGTTTTATAAAAAAATATATAACAAAAAAGCACCGCAAGATTGCAATTTAAAACTTAAGAAAGGGGGCTGTTGGAACCACAGGAATGTATTCTCCAGACAGCTCCATCACCTGCTCCACCCGTCTAATAAATACTCCTCACAAAGTCACCAACCTCCACAAGTGCTAGATGGATCAACCAGAAATGATAGTTAATGTGTTTTTCCCAGCTGTGACACCTAACTCTGAAACTACACCTATTCATTTATTGCACATTACATTTACATGCCAATTTGCACAGTCTTGCGCAATTACGTAATTACTTGTATTCCTTTCTGTATGTCTCGTAGAGCAATACAATAATGTAAAGCTGTGGAGCCTAGTCATTAAAATAAAAGGCAGATTCATAAAAACTACCTTGTACACAAATATGTAAATGGTAAATATGTAAATGACCACAAAGCATAGTTTTACCCATTAAAGAAAGTACAGGGGAATAAATTTGGAGTGGGACACATGCATTATTATAAAGACATAGACTCAGATGTGTACATATGTTATTACTGTGTGCAGTATTAAGAATTGGATGACCATCACGCCTAATTTCTGCAGTAGAATTGGTTGAAACTTTGGACAAGTGCAAGGTCTAGCAGAATAAGATCAAGTTGGATTGTGAGAAATGCATTATTACAGAGATTTGAGCAAATAAAATTACTATCTTAAAACCCATAGTATATATATATATGTGCACTTCATTCCAGCTTCAGGCTTTGCGGTCACATACAAATTTTAATTACAATAAAAAGTAATGTGAGAGTTACAAATTGAAAGCACACAAAGGGTAAATTGTATGTACCTTTTATGGATTTTGTGAACTCGATTTAATATTTTTTGGGATCCTAAGTTGTACACAATTTAGTTCAATGTGGCCACAAAAAGAAAATATTTTAAAATTATGTAAATACCATTAGTGTATTAGTAGTGGTGTTGTAAAGATCTTACTGTTAGGTCACAGAAAATGTTAGTCATAAAGCGAAGAGAAATATGCAATATAAATATTTAGACATTTTTAAATAATATAAATGATATTTTAACATGAATGAAATACACATTAAGACACAAAGTTGAAATACATTTCTAGAAGCTTGTGATATTTGCTGTACAGTTTCTGCTTAAAGCAATCCATGGAAAACACAAAGCTAAGTTAGTCTAATATTCTGAGAGAGAACTTGATCCTGTCATGGTCGTTATTTGATAATGGGATTCAGTGTCGCAGTTTTGTATGTAAAGTACTTATTTGAACAATCCCCTATCTGCAGGTTGCAACGAAGACCTTACCTTTTTACAAAGACTACTTTAACGTTCCATATCCTCTGCCTAAAATTGATCTCATAGCGATTGCTGATTTTGCTGCTGGTAAGTATATGAACCTTCTTTTGATATTTTGTGGTTTGTAATTATATTGTGGGGACCAGATTTCCACACAATGTGCTAAAAACTTGTAACTTTTTACTTCGTGGGATTAGTTTTATAAAAATCAAAAAACTAAAAATGCCAGGAGTCTTGCATTTTGTTTGGTTACTCATGGTTACTCTTAGGGCTAGGTAGGGATTAAGGTTGTCATATTGTCATATTTAGGATTAGGGTTATGCCCATAGACATGAATGGGCGTTCCCCACAAAGGATACAAATGCAATTCTGTGTGTGTCTGTGTCTGTGTGTGTGTGAGTTTTTGGACCATGGTAATCATATGGTTTCAGTATCTTAAAAGAAAATAAAAACACAGTGAACTTTTTCGGCCCTATTTTCCATCTTCACAAAGCATGACGCAAAATGGTTTTGCTAGTTACGTACCAGTGCATTGCTCATTTTCACGCCATCTGTGCATGCCGTCAAAATACCAAATGATTTTGCGCCCGCTTTCCGCTTGGAGTGGTGCTGTTTAAATGTGCCATGGCCAGGCGCATTGTTGATGTGCTATTCTAAGGCAGTGAAATGACATTGCGCTTGTGACCAACGAAAACCACGTCAGAAGTCAGGGGTGCATTTTTAAAAGGCATTTAAGTGGCGCATTTTAGAAATGTGCATGTTCATGACGCTCGTTAGACTCAAAGGTTACGCCCTCGAGGTGCACTAATAGTTTATTTTATTTATATACATTTTATTGTAGAGTACATCTGGTCTTTTTACATAATCATGCTGTTTCATGAAACACCAAAAGAAAAAAAAATATATATATATATTAAGTAAAGAACAAGAACAATCATTTAAAAAAATAATCTTTCAAGTTCATTATCAGGATTAAGCATGTACTGTAATTCAAATGACATTTGGATTTCTAAAAATGCTTTTCATCTGTGTTTACATACTCAGGTGGAACATTACAATACAGCCCCCCGAAGGTCACAGTAGTCTTTGTGGCATGTTCTATGTTGCGTAGTATTGCCATGCTTGATGGATGTCTATTGGACATAAATGAAGGACACATTATAGGACTTCAGAAGGTGTGATGCTGAACTGCATGCGCTGATGCCATCAAAGCAGAGTATGCCCTATTGCCTTTTATTAGAACATAAAAAAAAAACATGCAAGCATAATTGAGTCCCATTCCCAGCTGCTGCTCTCGTTCAGCAGTGAGCTTCCGTTTTCCTCATCTTCTGACGTCATTATACCACTGTCAGCACTGCACAGATGATCTGGTGATGCCAGAGAATGAGGACTTGCTCACCGCTACCTCGTCCCACGCCTGCTTCACCTAAAAAGGCAGGCGTAGTTGGAACAGTAGTGTTCCTATAGATAATGTCCTCATGCCTTTTCATTTGTGAACAAGCACGTCCATTTCCTTGGCTGAAAACCGTTCTGGCTTGCCAGGCAAATGCTCCATTGTAATAGCAATCCACCATAGATCATGCCCCACTGCCTTTTAAAGGTGAGATGACACGTCATTCCAATTGACACAGCAGACCCACCCGAAGCGTGCAGAAAAATGTACTTTGGTGATTGGTTGAGTCATTTTAATAAAGATCATGACAGCTCTTTTAACATGAAATACTCTTTATTAAGAGCCACTATCAATTTGCATGACACTGTTACAGATGTGTAACTGTACAGTTTGCTCTGGTTTGGTATGTCAGATTCATGCTTTAGGCATGAGAACGGTGCGGTACAAAGCCTGTCTGTTTGCTGCCCTACCTGGTGGTGTCTCATGTCAGCTATTTGTCGACAGTGGCTGAGAACCACTCATACAACGGTGTATTGCTGAAATAACGTCAATTACGGTTGAAGTATGTGGCTACCTTTAGCCATTAGGTGGATAATTTACACCATCTGCTGTATAATTTAAATTGTAGCACTCGAAAATAAGACAACCCCAATTTTTTATATGTATTTTTTGGTATAAAACACCGTCTTACATTTGAGTCGGATATAAGAAAATGACAGGCATATCGTAATACTGCAGTTTACATGTGTGTATTAAATTTTTTGCAAACTGCAGCCTGGTTCTTCTCTGTTTCTCATTAATGAAGGGCTTCTTCCTTGCTATATGGGACTTAAGTCATGCTTCTAGGACCCTGATACAAACTGTCCTAGCAGTTAATAATTTAGAAATAATAGAACTTATTTTTGAAATTAATTTGAAATTAAAATAGTATTCTTCAAACTTTGCTTTCATCAAAGAGTCCTCCATTTGCAGCAATTACAGCCTTGTAGACCTTGAGCATTCTAGATGTAAGTAATCTGACGAGATTTCACCCCGTGCTTCCTGAAACATCTCCCACCAGTTAGACTGACTTGATGGGCACTTCTTACATGCCATTCGGTCAAGCTGCTCCCATAACAGCTCCGTAGAGTTCAGATCCAGTTACTGTGCTGGCCACTCCATTATGCACAGAATACAAGTTGGCTGCTTCTTCCCTAATAGTTCTTGCATAGTTTGGAGTTGTGTTTAGATCATTGTCCTGTTGTAGGACAAAATTGGCTCCAATTAAGCGCCGTCCATGGGGTATGGCATGGCATTGCAAAATGGAGTAGTAGGCTTCCTTCTTTAAGATCCCTTTTACCCTGTATAAATCTCCCACTTTACCATCACCAAAGCAGCCCCAGAACCACCACCATGTTTGACAGATGTCGTCAAGCACTCCATTGTCTTTTCATTTGATACGCATCTCGCAAACGTTGTTCTTTGTGATGGGAACGCCTCAAACTTAGATTTGACTATCCATAGCACTTGTTTCCAATCTTCCTTTGTCTAGTGTCTATTCCCTTCTCAGTCTTTTCTTTTTATTGGCCATTCTGAGATGCGGCTTTTTCTTTGCAATTTTGCCTAGAAGGTCAGTATCCTGGAGTTGCCTCTTCAGTGTGGACGTCGATTTTGCGGGTACTATTGAATGAAGCTGCCAGTTGAAGACCTATGAGGCGCCTGTTTCTCAATCTACACATACTAGTATATTTATCCTCTCGCTCCTCTTTCTGTTGTAGTTAGAGCCAGTTTGCGCAGCTTTATGAAGGGAGTAGTACTCAGCATTGTACAAGATCTTCAGTTTCCTGGAAGTTTCTCGCATGGAATAGCCTTCATTTCTCAGAACGAGAATAGACTGATGAGTTCCGAAGAAAGTTCTTTATTTCTGACAATTTTGAGCTTGTATCCAAACCCACAATTGCTGATGTTTCAGATACTCAACTAGTCCAAGAAGGCCAGTTTTATTGCTTCTTTAATCAACACAATTCTCATCTATGCTAACATAATTGCCAAAGGGTTTTCTAATGATCAGTTAACCTTTTAAAATGATAAACTTGCATTAGCAAACACAACATTCCACTGGAACACAGGACTAATAGTTGCTGATAATGGGCCTCTGTACACCTGTACATTTAAAAAAAAAAAAAAAAAAAAAAAAAAAAAAAAAAAAACCAGCTGTTTCCAGCTATTATAGTGATGTACAACATTACCTACGTCTACAGTGTTTCTGATCAATCTGATGTTATTTTAATGTGCATCTCCATTTCCGAGGGGATGGGATATACATTTTGATGCATTGCCGACATTATGATACATTAAAGATACATGTGAAGCAGCTACTATCGCAATACGATAGAATTCACCCCTATAGTAATGAGATTCGACACGATATGATGTGATGCATCAACGGACATGCTTCCAAACTCATGCATGACTTGGCTGATAGGCTTGCTGAGAATTGTCCACTGACGGCAGTGGAGAACTAGAAATGAGAGTACGCTTAAGAAACAGTTTAAGGTGGGTAAATCAATTTAAACATAAAATTATTGGTCAGAAATTATAGGTCACAAATAAAGGCATAGGGTTTCTTTTAATAATTATATATTAATGTAACCGTGGCCATGTGCTGCTTCCTGCTTGATAACTCCGGTGGACAAGGGCAGCCCAGGCCTGGGACCCTCCTGTCGTGACACTCTGCATTGTGTTTTGGCATGTTGGTGATGTGATGTGACATGGTGAGGGAGGTGCAGGCCCAGGTGTGGTACAGCAGCAGTAACCGCGGTGACAGTCTGGCTTCAGGTGTTCTGACACGACAGGGAGTGCAATATGATGGGAGAGGTGGGTGATGAATGAAGTCTGGACCTAAATATGACTTAAACAACAAAATAAAACTGAAGACTTGCTTGTTGGCCTGAATCCTATTTTTAAAAAATAGCAAAAAGCAAACTTTGAACTATATTAAATATTCTTCCACGCTATCCCATAAACATAACGAGTTAGCGATTCTTCTAGCTTCACAGACAAAAATCAGCATTTGCTTTTGTGCATAACGGTTTGCAGAAGTCACAAACTAAACTTTTCAATGTTGTCTCTGTAAAATATGGGCAAATACAACAAAATTATATCAAGTAATATTTAACTGGTTATGACTTAGTTATACTTATTAACTCTGAAAAACTCACCGCTAATTAACTGTACCATAGCAGGCACTGCGACTTGAGATATATAACATATTGTATTTCCCAGCTCATTACCAAACATCCTTCAACATATAAACAAACGGATGGTTCAGTTTTATTCCCTCAAATGGACAAAAGACAGCTTGCTTTTGCACATAACAGCTTACAAACACTAAAGGTTCATGATAAAACATGGCTTTCTCTGATCTGGAAGCCTAATGACCTCCAAAAACAAACATTTATCATTCAAAATTAATAAAACAAAATGATTTACCTCACTATTCTGCATTAATAAATCAGAATTTATCGATGCAAAGATGTTATAAATGATGTACCCCAAGTTCATCCCAAATTGTATCCATTGCATACTTTTTGAATGGGCCAGTTGCGTTGTGAACTTTTATGCCGGTGCACCAATGCAGATTGGTGTATTTTACCATCCTGTGTGTTTGTTTGTGTGTGTGTGAGTGAGAGTGAGTGTGATTGTGTGAGAGTGAATATGTTTCTGTTCTGATATGTCATATTGCTTACCTTTAGGTGCCATGGAAAACTGGGGTCTTGTTACCTACAGGTAAACCTATGTTTGATGACATTAAGCTTTTAGAATTTATATATTAATTTAATACTTGAATCATTTCTGCTATGAAGAATTGCATGAAAGTATTAGCATTGCTTGTATTTGTGCCATAAGGAACTAAAGTGAATGTGAAGGTGGTGTTGCCTCGTAAGATTTACATTTTTCATTTGGTTGTTGCGCCCTGAATGATGCATTAGATTTGTAGCACTTGATGAATACGATAAAATGAACTTCATTGATCCCAGGGAGAAATTCTTGTGCATACAACAGCAAGGTATGTAAAATGCAGAGAAACCTAGTGCAAACCAAACCAAACCAGAACAGTGTAGACAAGCAGTGTTAATAAGCTAAAAAAAAGTATACAAACATAACATCTTGAATAAGAGTATTAAGTAAATAAAGAAATTAATGAATGTTAATAAAACTTTTTCACTTTGTTTTTCTGTTTGTCTAGTTTGTGACCTGTAAATTTTACTGGTTGATAATAGTATAATAGCACCCTTCACAGTAGACATTCTAGTGCATCACTAGAATAGGTGGGTAGGGCTGACTATAGGGCTACACAATATCATATCGCGATATACACTCAGCGACAAAAAAAAAGCACCCAGAGGTAATGGTCTGATTTGGATGTAATTTGGTACATGTAGGTACCAGCAATGGGTATGTAAATGACTCAATTTGTAAGAAGCTGGCACGTCTAGTCATCAGACGGAGAAGATGCCTCGTAGATCCATTGGACAGCATATCAAGCGCTTGGCAGAGTTTTACAGGGGTCGCATTGTGGGTTTGCATAAAGCCGGATAGTCGTATGGTGTAATTTCCCGGCACGTGGGGCATGCAGATGTCACAATCGCCTGATGTTGGAACCAATGGGCTCGTGAGGCCACCTGCACACGTCATAAAGGTTCCTGTTGCCCAAGATAAATCACACCAAGGGAGGATAGTCATATTGTGCGGCAAGCATTACAGAACCCCATGACATCTGCGCCTGCCATCCAGACACAGGTATTGGACTCTCTACAACACCCCGTGTCATCTTTCACCGTGTCTTGACGACTGACATCAGATGCCCTACGCTTTCACGTGCCATGCGGAAGCTGCCGCGAACACCAGTGCAGAGACTGCTGCGTCTGGAGTGGTGCCGTAACCGATAGACATGGACTGATGACAAGTGGCATTCTACCATGTTCAGCAATGAATCTCGTATCTGCATTACCACGAATAACTAGTGTGTGCGTGTATGGCGGTGCCAAGGGGAGAGGACAAATCCTGTCAATGTTGTGGAGAGACACACCGGCATTACTCCTGGCATCATGACCATAGGGTATGACTTCAGGTCATCTCTTGTAGTAATTTGGGGGACCCTGACGACAGAGCGCTACATCAGTGACATCCTGCGTCCGCATGTGTTATCCCTCCTGAGACTGCACCCTGGTACAGTCTTTCAACAAGACAACACCTGTCCACACACGGCACATGTGTCTATGGACTGCCTGCGTCATGTTGAGGTCCTCCCATGGCCAGCCAGGTCCCCCAATCCTTCCCCAATCGAACATGTGTGGGATCAGCTTGGACGTCAACTCAGACTCCGTGCCAATCTACAGGATCTCGAGGGCCAGTTACAACAACTGTGGGCTGACTTGCCACAGGAGAAGATACAATGGCTGTGCGACTCCCTTCAACACCGTATCGCTGCATGTCTCTAGGCCCAGGGGGGGGCAGGGGGGTGCCACTCCCTCCTGACACAGGACCAGCAGTGTGCCCATACTGCCAACTCTGTCTGTTTGATCTGATACTATAATCATTGTAATACAGTCACATGACCTTTCACCACGTGCAGATTAATTTTATTTTCACCACTCTGTCTGGGTGTTTTAACTCATTTTGTCACTGAGTATAATTGCAATTATGTTGTGCATGCTCAATCACCAGGGCTATAGAAGATGGGCATAAACATTTGTCTGGATGCCGGCTTTTCGGTACTGTACTGGCTAAAATATTAATTAGATGTGTATTGACGCCCAAAAGTTAGTAATCTGTATAAGTTGTACCCTTATGCTTATTAAATTCAGTTTATGTAGCACGCCACATACTATTGTTTAGGTAAACCATGGAAACGATAAGCAGTGAAGCTCTGAGCTGGTAAAATCTTATCTGGCTCTGAATTAAAGGAACCCAGGGTTTTAGCTTGCACTACACTAACAGGAAGACTATTCCATACTCTAACCACATGCTGTGTAAAGAAGTGCTTTCTCAAATTCATTTTAAAATGTTCTCCCGCTAATTTCCACCTATGGCCATGAGCTCTAGTATTTAAACTAATATTGAAGTAGCCATTTGGCTGAACAGCATCCAGACCTGTTAGAATCTTGTATACCTGGATTATGTCCCCCCTTAGTCTCCTTTGCTCGAGGCTGAACAAATTCAGCTCAGCTAACCTCTCCTCATAAGACATTCCTCTAAGACCAGGAATCATTCTTGTAGCAAAATGTTGAACCCTTTACAAGACAGTCATGTCATTTTTAAGGTATTGTGACCAAACCTGCACACAATCTTTTAGATGAGGTCTTACCAAGGAATTGTATAATTGTAGCATCACCTCCCTTAAACTCTATACACCTAGAGATGTAAGCCAACATCCTATTGGCCTTTTGTAAATTGCTTCCTCACACTGGAGACATGATCAGAGAGTGGACTGGAGAGTGGGACATGGAAGCATCAACATACACTTTCTCATAATTAGCTACTTTTATATTTTACTTATTTTTATATTCCTGCTCCCTGCATGGGTTACCTTGCTTTTATCTATGTTAAATTTCATCTGCTAGGTATCAGTCTAGTCGCTAATGAGATCAAGATCCCATTGTAGCCTCTGTGCTGCTAGATCAGTATCTGCTACACCACCCACCTTGGTGTTATCTACAAATTTAACCAGTTTACTGTATGTTTTGGTGTCAATATCAATGTGAATTAGGAGCAATAGTGGTCCTAAAATTGAACCCTGCGGTACCCCACTATGAACGCAGGCCCACTGTGACATTGTGCCTCTATCTACTCACTGCTTCCTGTCTGTTAACCAGTTTTCAATCCAAGCTGCTACACTTCCTAAAAACCCTGCAACTTTGAGCTTTAACAGGACTCATTTGTGGGGGACAACATCAAAGGCCTTCTGGAAATCTAAGTAGATCACATCAAAGACCTTTTTGTAACCAATTTCTCTTGTAGCTTCCTCAAAGAACTCAAGTAGATTAAACAGGATCTACCTCTCTTAAATCCATATTTGCTATCCCTCAGTGTTATTTGAATCCAGGTAATCTACCATTTTCACTTCGATTATAGCTTCCATATCTTTTCCAGTTTCCAACTGATTGGCGTATAGTTTGTCTGGGTGTAAGTAAACATCCATTTAGCACCAAAAAGCCAGTATCTGCACAGATGGTTATGCCTATTATCGAAGGCCCTAGTGATTATTGTGCATGCGCCATATAATTGTCATGTGATATTGTACAGCCCTAGTTGACGGTAAGGGAGAGACTGTGTGCGCAGCCTGGTGTCGACCTGCCTGTCAGATGTAATGCCAGGCTATACCTGAACAAGATTAAGAAGTGTATTGAGAAATCTGTGTATAAGTATGGCTTGCTATATAAGCACTGCTGACAAGTTGGTCTGTGTGTTCGTCCCCCCACCCCCCTTTAGGGAGACTGCACTGCTCATCGACCCCAAGAACTCATGTTCATCCTCCCGACAGTGGGTGGCGCTGGTGGTGGGACATGAGTTGGCACATCAGTGGTTTGGCAACCTGGTCACTATGGTAATGGCCTCATTCCTCCAATAAGAGACACCCCCAGGGTCACAGTGCATGTTCTGTTTAATCACTTGGTGCATTTCATTGATGAACATGCTTAGCCACTCATTGTTTAACCTGGTGCTAATACAATAGCATGGATTTTAGGGGTGTGAATTTCTGTGTTGCTTCAGTGTTTGTTAATGAAGAATTCTGATCAAACCAATAGAGCAGGATGCCACTTTACACTTCCTTTAACATGGTAATTTACTCTCTATGGAAGGGAAAAATTGTGTGTTGATATTTTATAATATTCCATTTAAAAGCAAGGGGTGAACCGAAATGGGTTTCTTTTAGTATTGCTGATTCAGTGTTCTGCTCTGAAAAGATGTTTCATGTTTAGTCTGGAAAAGGGTAATAACTGCCTGCTTGTTAAGCTACTGCTGCTGTTTCTGCAGCCATAAAGCTCTGTTGACCTCTTAATGATGCTGTTTCACAATTTAGGCAGACCCCACCCATCCAAGTGCTGAATCTAGTCAGGATCACAGAGTTGCCTGGAGCTTATTTTAGCCACTGTTATCCAGAAGGAACATTCTGGATGGATAGCCTGTGCATTGCAGGACACTTGCATATTCATACACTAGCGACTGTTTATAGATGTCATTCAGCCTAAACACATACACATCATGCATCAGCATATAAATATGCAGTAATCATAGGACACTGGTTACAAACTAAATTTATCTCTGTGCTGAAGTGCACATGTGAAACTGAAAGCACTCGCAGCCTGTATCCAGTCTGCATATCTGTCTCCTGAATGTGGGATTCAAGGGTTAAACAGTCAGAGTAACCTGTAGGGAAATGAAAGGTGGTCAACTCCACCTTAATAAAAATAATGAAAGCATTAAAGACTATAAGTAACTATATATAAAGATAGTAATAGACTATCTTTGGTTGTCAGTAATGACAGCATTGTATTTCCTAGGCAGTACTGTCATTTAGTCCAGCCATCTAAAGGCACTTTCACACTGAAGTTCCAGAACCTGTTCCTGGTTTGCAAGTTCCTGGTCTGTCTAAACCTGGAACTTTTGTAGCTCCTGGCCATTTTTGTGTGTTGCTTTTACACCACACAACAGGAACTGGAACCTTTATGCTTAATAAGCATGGGAAATGCAAAAAGTTCATAGGTTAAAGGTTACACATAATTTCATATGAAACTGCACCGCCACGCCAAAGCAATGGAGGATGCTCCATTTGTTTTGTTGGTTGATGGTTTTTGGGAGGAGCAATTGCCATAAAAATGGGATGCTACCTTTTATTTGTTATTCAACTGACCTTTGACATGTTTGTTTTATTATCACATCTGGCTGACAGATTTATCTTCCAGTTTCACAGAATAAAAAAACACTAATTTGTTCCACCTATAAGTATATTGATTATCAGTCAAATTTTCCAACACAACCAAAAAAAAGGTATTCATTTAAAAAAAACAGAACTTTCAGTAGGGAGGAGACGGGGGGGGGGATCTATTTTGAAATTATAACCTTCAGAAATATAAGAAAATGTATAATGTGAGTGCATTATATGTCTGTCTGCATTATATGACGCTAACAGAATAATTAAAATGTATATATTAGGTGCCACATATTGAATACTTGAATACATTGTGTTTGAAAACCACTTGTATATATGGAGATTCTGTTTCCACTTCCATACACACAATGTAGGCATAATATTTAAATTTACTATACACTTTTATTCATAGAGGCTTACAGTATGGGGAAGAGGTATAAGTTATGTGTACTTGATGGGATTTGAATCTCCAGGCTTTGCATTGTTAGCACAAGGCTCTATCTGTTGAACCCCAAGACAGCTACTGACGTTAAAACAGCTGCTTTATTATACTGTAAAGTTTTAACATGACTCACTTGTACAAAAATCCATGGGGAAAGTTTGGATAGAATATCTGCACTCACAATATGGTGGCTGCAGGCTCTCTTTTTCTTGGCTGCTCTCTGTTTGGGTAGCTTTTCTTCCAGACTGTTTTTGTGAAGGAGCAATAAGGTTCATCACAAGATCAAATTAGGCAAATGGAGAAAATTGACAAGTTCATATATCCTGTTCACAAGGATAAGCCTCTAATCATCTCCTACTTCTCTTTGCGCCATTGATTCAGTTTTGGTATGATTTGTCTCAGAATTTTAACAGGTCTAGATCTAGATCTTTTTACAATGTGTTAATATGCCTAGTAATTGCAAAATATTAATAAAACAAATCCAACCATAACAATTCAGTGTAAACATCTGTTCACTAATTTTATTAGCTAGACAATATTTCATTTACTGATAATAACTTTAGTCATATATGGTGATCTGTGCAGTTTTGTGGTAGTGTGTATGGTTGACATACTTCCATCCAGGAGTAGTTCTAGCTATTTAAAAAAAATCAGGGGCTAAGTCAAGTTTACCTGGGGCTTTTTTTGTTTTTGAAGGAAAACATACAATTAGGGGTTTAAATACTCGGGGCTATAGCCTCAAGTAATCAGACCTAACGATCAGACCTGCTTCCATCAGCACTTTTTCCTGGTAAAAATTTCAGCAGATATTATGATTATTTATTAGACACATCACACACACACACAATTTAATATGCACATTTGTAATTTTAATTCTCTTAAATGGAAGTCTACCATGTACCTTTTGTCACATTTTATATTTGTTTGGAGATTTTTTTGCTTTACAGTATTACCAGTAGACAGTATTCTGCCTGTCTCTGGTCGTAGGAATGGTGGACCCACCTCTGGCTGAATGAAGGCTTTGCATCCTGGATCGAGTATCTCTGCGTGGATCACTGTTTCCCCGAGTATGATATTTGGACGCAGTTCGTGTCAGCAGACTATACCCGAGCGCTTGAACTGGATGCGTTGGACAACAGCCACCCTATTGAGGTCATTCTTTTTCTATCCCTTCTTACACTATTTGTTGCATTAACATGGCAGCTGGACTTTAGTAAAGAATATTTTAGAAAATCCTCTTTTTATTGAAGTCTGTAACATGTAATGGCCTGGTTAAAGTAATATACTTGTTTCTATGATACGGTTTCTAGATTTTTTTTTTTTTTGTTTGTTATGCAGGTCAGTGTTGGGCACCCATCAGAAGTGGACGAGATTTTTGATGCAATATCCTACAGTAAGGGAGCGTCAGTTATAAGAATGCTGCACAGCTACATTGGAGATGAGGTGAGGCCTCCATGAGACCTTGCTGATCTTACACAGCCAATAGGCAATCTCTTACCCTAACCCTCCATGAGACAACACTGACCTTACACAGCCAATAGGCAATCTCTTACCCTAACCCTCCATGAGACAACACTGATCTTACACAGCCAATAGGCAATCTCTTACCCTAACCCTACATGAGGCAACACTGATCTTACACAGCCAATAGGCAATCTCTTACCCTAACCCTACATGAGGCAACACTGATCTTACACAGCCAATAGGCAATCTCTTACCCTAACCCTACATGAGGCAACACTGATCTTACA